TACACCTTCTTTACAACTTTTTTTTTTCTTTATCCTTGAACTAAAATGTGATTTGTTTCTCGTCTTCGGATTGAATTAAATTTATTGATAAATTTTCCGAGATAAGAATTTTATTCCAACGACAAAATAAAAAAGAAAAACTGAAAAGGAACTGGGATTTGAAGGTGAAGAGGTGATTTTTTTTGGTTTCTTTTAAATCCTTTGGGAGGCTGCACAATTCTGTTTTTTTTTTTATTTTCATTTTTAAATTTAATGCAATCTTTAAATCAAAAAGATAAATGGAAATGGGAGTTGAATTTGGCGTAAATGTATAAAAGAAAAATGTGATGTGAAATAAATTTTAAATGTGATTTTAATTTAAATGAATAACGCGGCGAATTATTTGAACAAACTTAAGATATTTGTTAATTTTGCACTCAAATCTTGAAGGATTTTTTTTGGTGAAATTCACTGTGGAAGATTGGAAATTGAAAATAATATTTAAATTTAATATTATGTTATATAAAGTTTATTGTGTGGTTTTAGATGAGATTTGTGTAAATATTTTCCAAACATGTTATATGTATGTGCTCTTATTTCTTGCACAACCAGATTTATCATTGAAATTGCTTCATATTTTTTAAAATATTTTTATGAACATTTTATTTTAATTACAACAGATTAAATAAATTGAAGAAATACTTTAAATAATTAATTTATTTATTAAAAATAATTCAATAATTTATTAAAATGAATAATATTTGTATAAAAATGTTGCAATAATTAAACGATTAACGCTGAACGTTTATAATGTTAAATGCTGGATGTGACATTTGCACGAATTCAAGACGTAACAATCAAATTTCGTACCAAATTTTTGCTAACTTCTTTAGAAAATATTCCACTCCCAGGGTTTTGAAGTCGTTAATCTGCAACTATTCTTTGTATCTCCAAATATATTATAATATAATAATGCACAAAAGTATAATTTAATTTTATTTTTAAGATTTCGTTTTAGACTGCATGTCAAATATAAAAATTTCTAATAACTAAAGTAATATTTCTCGATTGCATACTTTTAGGATGAAATATATTTTTGTTGCTTCTGAAAATTCTATACTGAATTAATTTCATTAATTTAAAAATCGCATAAATTAATCAAATTTTATAATTCAAAATTTTTTGAGGGCTAAACAAATGATACGAGAAAACTAATTACTTTATTTAACTATAATTATTGTTTAGGTTTATAAAACAAATTTGTAAAATGCACAACAACTTAATTTATTATCTAAATCTTAAAATATTAGATCAAAAATATTTACTTGCAGTTTCGGAAAACTTTTTTCTTTAGGAAAGTTCCAACTTAATGAATACAATATTTTAGTCTGATATCTATAGCCTCTATAAACCTCAACGGTCTCCTAAATAATATAACATCATTATTATCGTTTTGGTTTAACTTCTTAGCCCTTACCTATTATTCTCCTTTAAGAGTTTACTTTCTCACCATACTTTAACTTTTCTTACGAGAGTATTTAAAGAGAGTTTACTTCTTAAGTGAGTATTAAAAGAGAGTCAATTTAGTTATTGAAAACTGAACAAATATTCTTTTAAATTACAAAAAAAAGTTTATAAATAACATACTTTAAGTTTTAAATTAAAACATAACACAATATAGTTTATATTATTGACAAATATAAAGAAAAAAAAACAACTGCTTTTTATCGTCCTTTTTTTGTACCTTGTGCGTCGCGTTGCTTTATTTATCACACATCATTTATAATATATACATTTTGTATCAATCAACATGTTCGAAAATCGAAAAAAAAAACAATTCTTATTGATCGATAAATTTAATGATAAAAACGTGTATGCATGTCTTAGATATAAAATATAATTTTATATAACATAATGCAATGTCTGCACGTATACGTTGGGCACAAGGTGTATAATGTTATTGTGGTTTAAGTAGAAACTTGAATGCTTCAAAATTGTTAAGAATTCTTATATTTTACATTCAGTATTTTCAATGAATTCTGTAACCAATTTTAAAGAGTTTATTTTCACTTTGAGAAAGCATTTGTTTAATTTTAAAACCTTCGTTGCACCAATTCTATACACAATTTTCTAAAATTCTGACTTTATTTTCAGTCTGATTTTATTATTTTTGTGATTGAATGTGTATCCTGTGAATTGCGATTAAATTTGAAATAGCTTGAACACTTTTAATTTGAAATTTATTTTTCATTTAATTCAGCTTTAACTGTAAGAGCACACCTTGTATTCCGAAATATATTGATTAAGTAATTTTCCATATTCCTGTATTTTAATGTGATATGCCAATTTCCCAATCAAATATAGAAGTTTTAAATTAATTATTTATTTTTATCACAAAAATAAAAAAAATTTATTTTCTCAACTACTACATCTACAACAAAAAATCGCGTTGTATACGGGTATACCTGGAAATATCTACAAACAAAATATCATTTAAATTACGGGGTCATATTGTGATAATTGTGTTAAGGTGAAAAATTTTTTTTTGAAGTTCAAGAATTTTTTCATTAAAAAATATTTCTCAAAGAACATTTTGAGAAAATTTCCAAAAGCAATTTCCTTTTTATTTTTCAACTATTTATGTACAATTTATTCTACATACATATATAGAAAATTTCTTTGAAAACTTTGTAAAATATTTTATATATGTTTTGTATAATACTGAAATTTTATTACTCAAATACTGAATTCCACTCTAATTGCATTCAATTTATTTTGGACTGACATTAACAATGCACATATATATATACAAATATTCGTATGCACTTACAATAGATGAAAAAATTGAATTACAAAGTTGCAAAAGTAAAATATTTTTGTTAAAAAATTTTAAAAAGTTCAAAATAAAAAGAAAATTTTTTAGAACAAAATTATCATTTAATAGAATTTTTCTTTTAAAAAACTAAAAGAATTTTGTTGTCAACGTTATACGTGTTTTAAGGGGTGTTGTATTTTTTTTATAGCATTATTCCAATTTTTATATAAAATGTAATTGTAGGTCTCGCACAGGTTGTTTTTTATGATATTTTTTTTATCATCAAATTATTTATTTTATTATCCCGACTTAAAGTGGGCACAATTTAATTTTAAGGTCTTTTACAATTTAAATTAAATTTTAAGGGATTCAGAAAAGTTGTATAATTATTTGTGAGAAAATTCATAATTTGTTATATTGTTAATTTTCATTGTTTAACAGGGTAATCTAGTAGGCGTACATTATTATAAATTGCAACTTAATTTTTAAATTACAGTATATTTACAGTAATCCGTCGAGTAAAGTAATCACGACATAGAAAAATTCCATATAAGTCTCTAAAATTTTTAATATTACTTGCTCACTTTAAATCATTTAAACTATACTAATTCAGCGTTTTTGTAAACCCAAAATTTAAGAGGTAGTTTTTCATATGTCCAGTCGAAATTCATTGCTTTGAGTGATTTCGCTTAAAGTTAAATTTATTACATATAATACACCAAATTTAGTAAAATTTCTGTAAATAAAATACTTAATGTGCTTATGCATTAAAAAGTATTCAATATAAAAAAGGGGTAATACACCCATACATAAGGGACAACGAAATATTGCATCTACTTCTAAATTAAGAGACAGCAATTAAAATGAGGCGAAGAAAAAATTGCAAGCGATTTATTTTAATTAAAATGCAAATTTATTAAACTAGTTTAAATAAATTTTTGTAATTACAAAAATTACAAACAAAATAAAAACCGAATTTTTGATTGCAAAAGTTGGTCCCTAGACAAATAATCTGTTCAGTTTGTAGACAAATCCGGCGCTATGTAACACTGTGTATAAGATTAATTATTAAAAGTTTTACACCTAGTTAAATTTATAATCAATTAGCCTTATACATAGTACATAATATTTTAACTGCACGTTAATTTAATTAAGTATAGTAGATTGAAATTCTTAAAGATTTATTTCATCATAATTCATGAAAGGCGTAATTAAAAACTATATAAGGCTTTCAAATCAAAAAAATATTAAAATATTTCACACTTGATTTGTTAATTCTAAGAAACTACATTATGACCGGCCTTAACACTTGCATATGCTGTGCTTCAAAATAATTATAAAAAAAGGTGAATAGATTATATTTCACGACTCCATAATCTTGTAAAAAGAAAAAAAAAAACACGCAAAATGAATACTTAAAACTTTTACATTTAAATAAATGCAAAAATATCCTAAAATCAACAAGGCTATCAGAAATTTTTCACATATGTAATATTTTTATTTCAACACCATTTTGAAATAATTCTGTCATTCTTTCGTTTATATTTTCATCGAAATTCGTAAAACATAGCAATTCCATTTTTATTTCTTATGTTAATTTTGTATACCACATCCGATTTGAAAAATTATTTCAAATATTTTTAAACATATTGTGTACATAGGTATAAATGTATATACATAATATGTATGACTTTTAAAAGTTCAACATTTCATGTGCTTCTGATGTGATTTGCAAATTTCTTCAAATATATATTGTACTATTTTATAATAGCGGTGCACATCCCTCACCTACTTACTCTATCTACGTTAGCTTTTAAAAAATATTGTCATAATATACTTAAAAATATTTCATTTTCTTAATACCAATCTCACATTTTCCACTCACATATATGAGAAAGTTTTCCTTTTCACGTACATACTCGTATAAGTTCAAAGGTATGATTAACATCAAGGCAGAGAGGCATTCAGTTTCTTGTTTTTTTTTTTTGTGTACCATGTCAAGAGAAAAAAATCAACTTTCTCCATTGCTTTTAAAAAGAAAAACTTCTATATAGATTTTTTTTTTTATTATTGTTTTGCCTTTTAATTTTGTTTTCTTTTTTAAATACATACATAAAAAAAATTTTCATATTCAAGGAAAATTTGCATAAATTCTCATGATTAATTTTTCATTTCTCTTTTTTTTTCTTTCTTTTAAACATTGCAGATAACTAGAACATATTATTATTGTATGCTTATAACTGAAAAGGAGAAGAAAAAAGAGAAGATAAAAGAGGCCATTGTACAGTAGTATTGTATTTATCAAGGAGACGGGAACCCGATTTTAAAACAATAAAAGTTTTAGTGGTGTATAGCAGTAAAAAAAAATCGAAAAAAGCAAATAGAAAAAAGGTGGTTGGTGGTGATTGCGAAAACGATAGTGTTTCGAAACAAAAACAAGAAAAGCTATAAAAAGAAAAATAAAAGATTTATATAAGCAAAGAATTATTGTCTATATCTCTAGACAACAACGAAGAAGACAACCAACAACGACGATAAGAACAAAATAAAATATTATAAAAATGGGTGAAGGCGGCGTAACTTGTGTAAAATACATCATGTTCTTTTGTAATTTATTATTTGCTGTAAGTATATCATATATTATGCATTTTATATATTAAAAATATATATATACATTTGTATGTATTCAAAGATAAAAATATTATTTTTAAATTTGTATTCCTTTACAAATAATATATTGGTGATTGAACTTATTAGCTAACCACGAAACATAAAAATCGTACATATTATAAGAAATACACATGTATAGGTTGTTTAATAATTAAATATGCATTAATTTATATATTACATACAAAATGTCTCATGCAAGTTATACATTTCTCTCACAATTAAATTTATACAATTATTTTCTAATTTTCTCTAAAAATTTTTTCCTATGAATTCTTTTATGTTAACAAGCTTGTCTACTTACTTTTTCTTAAGAATATGCTAAAAAAATTAAATTAATTTTGAGATTTCTAAAGAAATTTGAAAATTAAGAGAGAATAAAGGAGGACAATTTCAAGCGTTTGCAAATAAAAGAAGTGCACAAACGCTTGTCTTACAAAAGCTTGCAATATTTTGTTAAAATTCGTTGATTGTTTACCATTTGTAAGGAAAATTTATAAAACACATACAAAACATTAAACAAGATTTACAAAATGTAATTGAAAAATTTGAATTAAATCACAATTAAATTGCAAAGATTTTAAGACAACAGCCGCCTAATTTTCTGTTCTTTTTGAGTTTTTCTTTAAATTGTGTATAAAGAGCTTATGTATTAAATTTCCAAAAGAGCTTTTGGAAATTTAATACATAAGCTTCGGAAATTTTTGATTAAACTTTCTGTCGACAAAGGAAATTAATCTTTATTATAGATGCGCATACTAAATTGGATTAAACAACAATTAAATTAATTAATAATCGAAAAATAATAAAAAAAAAAATTACAATTTTTTCAAAAATTCTTCAATATATGCGAATATTTAAGGTATTTAATAAAGAAACACCCTGCTTCATATACGATTATAAAAATAAAAATTTTAAAAGAATAAATTAACTAGCATGCATAAAAGAAGTGACATGACCTACTTAAAAGGATTTTACTTTTAACTTAATTCTATGTTATACGCTATAATGCATATTCCCCCATATATATATGCATAATTTACATACATACATAAAATGTTACTTATATAATGTCGTTTATAAAAATTTTAAAAGATTTTTTTTTAACATTTTCTTTTTTTTGTGCCACATTTTTTTTCTTATTTTCTATAATAATTTAGCTAACTGGATTATTAATGTTAACAATTGGAGCTATTGTACAAATAAATTACATACACTATTCAAATTTAATTGGTGATACAATATGGACAGCACCAATTGTATTAATTATTGTTGGTATTGTTGTATTCATAATTGGTTTCTTAGGTTGTTGCGGTGCATGTAAAGAAAATTCATGTATGATATTAACATTTGCATTTTTAATAATTGTTATATTTTTGGCTGAAATTGGTATTGCAATTGCTGGTTATATTAAACATGATGAATTACGTGGTATATTAGAAAATCAATTTAATTATACATTGGTGCATTATAATGAACGTAAAGATTATCAAGATACATGGAAGGTAGCACAAAGTGAAGTAAGTATATATAATTGTTAATTTGTAAGTATTAATAAAATAATTTTTCAATTGCTAGAATTAAACTATACGAAATAGAGTTTGATTTGAGTTCAACTTCCTGATAAAACCATTGCATTCTTATACAGTCTTATTATGGTTTGTCTCATTTATAAAAGAGCTTCAAGACTTAAAAACTTTAAGAGTTAAAAAGCTAATCTGTCGAAGCTTTTTACACGATAGATTCGAGGCTTTGATATGAAAATTTCATACTATCTCTGACTCTATTATTATACAATCGCAAATGATATGTTTATTCTTTTTTCCTATAGCGATAAAATCTATAAAAACGGTTCATATAACTAGTCCCATTTTGTATGTGGGTCAAATGAGCCCGCAATGGCTTCAATGTCGTACAGTAAACTAGATTAATTACTGATTATAATACAAAGAACTCATAAATTGTTTTTTAAATAAATTAGAAATTTCATATAATAAAAGAAATTTTTCCAATTCTCCATAACTCCATTTTCTCCCAATTCAGTGTAATCGTAAAAATGACCAAAATCGAAAACAATCGTAAAATTCCAATTCAATTTTCCAATTAATTATTTTAATGAAATTAAAATTTAATTATTCTAAAGAAAGTTGGAAATTTACTAATAATTGCAATAACATCAATGAGATTAATTTTGTTTTATGTTTTTTAGTTATCATGTTGCGGTATTAATGGACCAAATGACTGGGAAAATATATATCCAAGACGTAATGAATTACCAGCATCATGTTGTACAATGATAAATTTGGAAAAATCAACGGTATGCGATATTGAACATGCTCATAAAGAAGGTTGCTTAAATAAATTATGGATATTATTGGATTCGAAAACAGTTGCTTTAGGTGCTGCTGTGCTAGCAATTGTATTGATTCAGGTATAATTATACTAGAAAATAGAAATAAATTAAAAAATTTTTATTCTATTTTACATTCCTTTTTATAATCCTTTTTAAATTTTCCATCCATCCATTACATATTTATTATATAACAATGTATTTGAATATTTTATTCGAGAACACAAAGAATTTCCTCAAAAATAAATTAAAGTCTTACACATATACATATACCTATTTATTAAAATATCCTTTTGAACTTACATCAAGATATTTGAATTTATAAGAAGGAATCAGAAGAATCAAAAAAAGAATAAAATGCTTTTTTGTTCTTTTGCAATATTGCGTAAAACTTGTATAAGTTTAAGATGAAAAATGTTATATAACAATGACTACGTATAATTTATGTTCTATTAAATGTAAACGTTAATTATTCATCAAAGCATTGTTCTTAGATTGCTGTATATTATAGCACATTATTTTTAAAAAGAAATTCGTATATAGTGTAATAATATTTTATAATGTAATATATGATATGTGATAAAGAGCCGCCTTTCTCTACATTTCATCGCTATATAATGTCTGTGATTTCTTATACAATAGAATAACGCAAATATCTTATGTTTTCTTTTTGTTATCCTTGTTTTTGTTTTTTCTTGCTTATTTATTTAATAATTACCCCTGAATGCTCCCGTTACGTATTTCTTTAAGAATACAAGCAAAAAATATTTTAAGATGTTGCTATTCGTCATAAAATGCTTAGATGATTTTCTTGTACAGAGTATTTCAGAAGCACTCGTATAGCAAATGAGTGAATTTAAAGTAGAAAAAATTGCAATAGAAAAATTTTTGAGATTTTATTTTTTCAATTGTACTGTACAATTGTGGAACTTAATCGCAATTTAAATTATTTTTTTTTTCTTTACATTCATAATTTTATAAACGCATAGTGGTTGAAAATTGAGGTTAAGGTGGCACCGTTTTCAAAAAAAGAAAATGTAAGACAAGAGTTCGCAAAAAGAGGTCATGACTCACGGATTATAAATGTTCTTATAGTAGACGACTTGTAAAAATTTGTTAACTTCCCAAAATATTAACCTTTTCCCTGTATTTTCGATTGGAAAATTTTTAAATTAAATTCCTCTAAGTCTAATATAACAAATATTATTGTGAAAATGTGTTTCCATAATGTAAGGAACAAAATTAAATTTAAAGTAATCTTTCCAGATTCGCTTTTTTTTGTTTTTAACTTGGAAAAACGGGCTTACATTTTGAAAAGTCATATCTTTTTTAGTAACTTTTCTCCACACTCCAGAAAGTGATGCTTTTTCTTGCTATAAGAAAACATTTAAAAGTCTTTATTTTTATTATGAGCCTTCTTTAATAAGTTTCATTAAATATTAACTTCTATAACCTTGTGTATTTTAAGATTCTTAGTCTAAATTTAAAAAGCGAAAATGTATAAAATTAAAATAAATTTATTTTTGTTTGAATTGTCTGCTTGATATTTTACGAACTGTTATATTCGATTATAAAATGGACAAAATTCAATAAATAAATAGACAAGAAAGCAAAGACAACAAAAAATATATCTTTATTTTCGTTCAAGTGGGTACTTGGGGTTACTTCCTATAATATTAGTTTTCAAAAAGAAGTAGGAAAATTAGTGTATTAAAATTAGTTTACACATGAGGAAAGATCCTCCCTTTCGGCTCAAATATACTTTCTCTTCGTTGAAGAATCTTTCATTAAATAAGACATTTGAAGCTAAATATTGTTATAGGACATTAATACTTGTTTAAGTGCATCTCCTACTTCTCTGAAACTTTGAAACAATTCTGAAACACTTGGCTGAAATAAAATAAACAAAGATTTTTAAAATCAACTATAAAGTCAAGCGAAGCTCCTAAGCAGGAAAGTATATATCTGCACAAATTCTACTGTATATTAAGTGTTAAAAATATAATGATAGTTATGAAATATTATTTCTATACCATTACATTATCTATCAAAACAAAAATTTTACCAAAAAAACCTTAACATTTTATGTTAGATTTCCTTTTATTGTTATTTTTAATTTTTAAATATTTTTGAAATCCCATATAAAAAATATTATTTCCACATCATGAATTTTATTATATTTGTATAAATATTATTATGAAATATCAAATACGTAATCATCGGCTTAAAGGGGAAACTGACTATCTTAAAATATTTAAGTTTTCGGAAATCGCAATTTCAAAAATATAAATTCAAAAATTTGTAATAATCAAAATTTTATTTTTTTAGTGATTAATTCGCTAATGAAATTTCGAACACATTCGAAAGGAACGAAATACTTATTGAAAATAAAGTCAAATAAGACAATTTTAGAGATAGTCAATTTCCATTTTAAGCCGATAATATATTGTATGATAATAAAATATTTTTTTTTTTTGCTTGTTTTTTTTTCTTTTAAATTGAATAAAATTAATCATTACAAATTATTCTTTTTTTTGTTTTAGCTCTTGACATTATTTTATGCTTTCTGCCTATTCAGATCATTTCGTCGAAGGTATGAGACAGTATAGAAAATAAATAGAATTGTTGTTTAAATTCAATAATATACTATACACATATATATATATATACATATGTATTCATCATGATATTAAAATAATAATAAAAATAAACACATTCAAACATAATATTGTATTTAAATATATTTTGCATATATTTATGTTTTTATAAGGGATATAATATTTAAACAACAAAATAATAATAATAACATTATAATAAAAAGAATAATAATAATAAAATCATAATAATTAAAACAAAAACAGGATTAATATTAAAACTTAAAAAAAAAAATTCATTTTGTTTTTTTTAAATAATGTGGTTAAAATTATAACACTGTTTTGATTTTTTTTTTTAATTTTTTATTTGTTAAAATTAATTAAATTTATTATTATTTTAAATATTAGATATTAACAAAATAATTAACAGATTATCACGCAAAATCATTAAAAAAAAAACAAAAAAATTTTTAAAAAAAATTATTTAATTAATTAAATTCACTCCCATCTAAATTGTTTTAAAATCTCAATTTTTTTTTTTTGTTATTTTAATGAATTCTTTTGTCCTTATTATACATTATTATTTAACATACAAGTTAACATACAATAACAAAAAATTAACATATTATTATATTGTAAAACGTCCATTTTGTATTAATTTTTATAATTATAATTTTTTTTTTATTTTATTTCCTTTGTTTTTCAGATAAAAAACAAATTAGTTTATTTTAATTTATTGATTTAATTAAACTTCATAAATTTTCATCAGTTTAATTTTATTTCATTAAGAAAATTTTTAAGACATTATAATAATATAATATAGAGATAGAGTATATTATATAAATACAGAAATATTAAAATATTAAAATTTAAAATGTTTGACATATTTATATTGGTTCTAATATACATATATATAATGTATATTTTTAGTTCTGTAACAAATTTTTAATGTTTATCAAAAATTAAAAATGGAATTCTACTAAAATAAAAAATTATTGAGTTAAAGATCCTTTATATGTTCTGTGGCCACAATAAACAGTAGAGCTTAAGTCAATATAAAATAATATTAATATTTTACCATCATTTAAATTTTTTTTTTCTTTCAATTTGTGCACTCATAATCAAAATTAATAATTTAAAGTTAAGTAAGAACAGGTAGCTAAAATTTTTGATAGATTTATAACTGTTTTATTCTTAAAATATTAATTTTATTGTTTAGCAAAATACGAATTAAAAAAAATATACTATTTATTGTTGCCACAGAATTTACATATGTACAAAAAATTTTTTTTTGTATATTGATTTGTGTTTTTTACGATATAAAAATTGTATAACATCATTTATTTAAATATTTTATAATTGAAGATTAAAAATTCATTAGAGATTAATTAATTCATTCTTGTAATTTCATTATTATAATTTTAATTAATTTTTTTTATCAAAAATTGTAAAAGTTTTGGCGAACAATTTTTTTTTCTATTTTTCATTTATGAATATTTAAAAATAATTTACTTTTTGAAAAGAAAAGCTTTTTATTATATAGAATATAAAAAATAATATCAATTAAATCATTAAAATTTAATTAAAATTAATTTTTTCTAAAAATACTTTTAGTATATTATAATTTAAAATTAATTTGATTATTTTGTGATTGATTTATTTTTATTCTGATATTTTATAGTTGTTCGAAGCAAAACATTTATAAAATTATTAAATAATTTGAAATTCAAAAAGGGAATGTTAAACATAAATTCTTGCCCATATTACATAAAATTTATTTCACTAATATCTGATTTTTTATAAACATATATATTTTATAAAAATAGTCATAACAATCATTTACTTCAGCATATAATATTTTAATTTTATAAATATTACCCACGATTTTTGTTGCAATTTAAAAATTAAAAAAAAAAAAATTGAATTTGCCATTATACCAAAAATTTCAAGATATCAACTAAAATTTGTTATAGAAAATTTAGATATTTTAAAAAGTATTAAATATAAAAACCCAAACAACAAATGGTTACAATACAAACGAAAACTCTTAAATATTCAAAATTTTATCTAAAATAATGTAGAACAGTTATTCAAAGTCGTTAATATAAAATCGACTGTTCCATCGACTAACTTTGTAGGCCTGAGTTATTTTCCTAGAACTTATTTACTTTTCTTGTTTTTGTAAATGTTTTGTAACAGATAAAATTCATTCTATAAAATATCAATTAGAAAATAAATTAAAAAAATTTAAGATTTTTATAATATTGCATTTATATTTACATATTATTCATTTAATTTAATTTTTATTTTAAATTTTTTTTTTCAAAAATATACACAATACACGATTCTTTTTGTTTTCCCCATTATTATTCCCTTTATATTTATCTCCGGTTATAATAACAATCATAATCAAGTATTTTTAAAAAATGCATAATCAAAATTTAAAAAAACAAAAATTATAATAATTTATATAATAAAATTAATAATAATTGTAAATTAAGTCTGTTAATAATAAAATACATTGTAATAATATGAAATTAAAATAGAAAGAATTTAAAAAACAAAAATATCAACAAAGAAAAATCCTTAGAATTTTTTTTTTTTTAATCATAAATATGATTTGAAAATTTTAAATAATTATAATATTAAAAACAAAAACAAGCGAAAAATATGATATGTAATCAAAATTTAAATTAAAAAATAAATAAAATAAAAATTAACTTTAATCAAAAGACGAAATTTTGCAAAAAAAAAAGGAGGCAAAAAAAAAATATAACTATGTAAAACATAATTTTATAATTTTTGTAAAATAAAATTTTAAAATATAATAAAATAATAATTTAAAATATATTAAATGTATATGTAAATGTAAAGAACAACAAAAAATGAAAGAAAAACTGTTGTTTTTGTAAAGAAACTCAAAATTTATAAATTTCAAAAATGATTAATTTGCAAAATACATGTTTTATCGTACCTACATTTAAATTTTTATTTTAACAAAAGTTCTACAATCATTTATAATATTAAAAATTAATTTTGTTTTTTTTCTTCAATTCACATGCACATTATTACAATTTTATATTTTTTTAATAAAGAATTTAAATATTTTCTTAATTTTCTCTCATTATCACATTTTCTCGGAGTGCCAAATTTATTTCAATTTATTCAAAATTGTACTCATAAAATATTTTTTTAAGAAAATCATTTACAGATCATATTTAATATTTAAATTTTAAATTATTTTTAATGTTATCAGTGAAAATTAAATTCATATTTGTGTTTGCATCAAAGACAATCAAATTTTCCGAAATTAATTTTTTACTTTTTTAGTTAACGTTTTATTTTTACTCATGAAAAAGAACAGATTTTTATTTTAATTCAAAGCACTTAACATTACATACCTATAAAATTAACAATATTTTGAGAAAAATTTTAAAAACAAACACTGATTTTTTAAATTCATTGTTAATTTACATTATAAATTTTAAAGTCTCTTTACAAAAACTAAAAAATTATATTAGAAAATTAAAAAAAAAAGACACATTCTTTTTAAAAGATTTATTCAAAATAATAAAAATAAAAAACTTTTTGTGCTTTATTGAAAAAGTAATATGTAAACGAAATTAAATGAATTTAGAAATATGGAAAACATAAGAAAAATATCTTAAAAAAAAATTGTAACATAAAAGCAAATATTACAATATAATATTAGAATATTATATTAAATATAATTACCCATATTATATTTAAATTATTAAATTATTATTATTATTAAAACAAAAACAAAAACAAAAATTTATTATTAAATATATAAATGTTCATTTTCACATAATTTCTAAATTTTTATTATAAAAAATAATAAAAAAAAAATCAAAATGAAAAAATAAAATCAAGTAAAAAAAAATCTTAACAAAAAAAAAAATAATTTTTATATACACCTTTTTCTAATCATATAAATGTATATGTGAGATATGTAAGACATATTTTTAAAAATTTTGAAAATAAAATAAAATAATTCAGAAAAAAAAATTATAAAACAAAAAAAAGACAATTTACCTAATATTGTAAAATTGCATTCTCAATAATTTAAAATAATAGTAGAAAAAATAATGTAAAAATTTAAGAAATAGGCCAATAAAAAGCAAATAAAATATTCTCTGCTTTCAAATTTAATTATAATTTTAAAATTTAACTTCAGCTTAAAATTATCGGAAATTAAAACTATTCCTGAAATACAATTAATATTTTGTGATTTTGTTTCATGAAAAAACCAAGTATATCGGATGCAAAAATAAACAATAGCCAGCTATCCTACATATATTTTTAATTTTAACTAATTTTCAGAAAAATATTCAGAATTAATAATTTGAAAGCAGGGATATTAGATATTTTATCAAACGGTGCTTAAATTAAAAGAGGGCTCTAATCAAAAGTCAAATTTCACGTTCTTAATTTTTAATTTTCAAAAACCAACCTTAAAAATGTTATTTAAAACTTTTAACATAAATATTTTTTTTTTCAAAAAGTTTAGGATTTATCAAAATTAAATACTGTAAAACAAAGTCAAAAATTATAAAAAATAGTTTTTAAAAGAAAGGTTTCAAAAATGACAAAAATCAGCAATATATCGGTTAAATTTTTTTTTTAAAGTGTTATGCTATAAAATTGAAATTTTTGTTTTTTATTATAAAATCCTGCCCTGGAAAAATAATTGAGCTCTCTATTTCTTTTTCTCTCTCTCTCTCTCTCTCTACATTCATATTTTAAAAACTACAAAAATAATAGAAATCTATTATTAAAAAATGATTAATATTGAAAATCTACAAAAAAAGAATAACGAAATTAAATATTATAAAAAATATATATGTAAATGTATGTATTTAAATATTACTTTGTGGATGATTTCAAAATAAGTAAAATATAAATTATAATATTGAAATTTACTTGTAAAAGCGTTCAGAATCATTTTTTAGATCTCTGCTATAAATATTACTATGAATGCAATGCTAATAGTAAATATATATATATTTATATATTAGATGGTTTTGCAAGTTTAGTATCTGTGAACAGTGTTATTTTGATTAAGATTTATAAATTTTATGATGGGCAATGTAAGATTTGATTTAATGAAAATATTAACATTTAAGAAATGTATACTTAACAATAAAAGACTTTTCATTAATGTATAAAATATGAATATGCATTTATAATATAATTATATAAA